CTTCTGTTTGTTAAGTAACTTGCTTATGTGGCAGTGTTATTAGAGTTACTCTGCCCCACACTTAAGTAAGGGCATTTCTGTCTTTGTAAACATTATTAGAATCTAATATAGATTAAGGGGGTCGACTGGATGGGTTAACCATCAGATTTTCGATAGACCCTTCTTCTTCTCTTCTTCTTCTTCTTCTTCTTCTTCTTCTTCTTCTTCTTCTTCTTCTTCTTCGGACTACTGTAGGAGCAGTTGAAACATGTATAAACAATTTAAACCATTAAATAGGAAACTTGTATATTTTGTATATATGCATGCAGGGGCGGAGCTACGTGTATCTGAGTGGGGTCAATTGACCCCACTGTAGTTCAAAAAATTGAGTACATGTATTGATTTAGTCCAACTTTCCCATATTGACCTCATTAAAGTTAAATGAAAATATAAGAGAGTGGGGCAGAACATTCCTTTCCTCCTGAAATTAGAACCCCAGAAAATATAAGAGTGGTTTGAACTATTTTGTGCAACGGAGATCCCCAAAACATTGGGGTTTTTGGGGTTTTCTTCTACATTTTCTTCTCCAAATGGTTGATGCTTTTGCACCAAACTTTCTGGTAACCACTTTTAAGTTATTGAATGACCCCACTAGAAAAGAAATTCCTGTCTATACCATTGTATATATGCATGTATGTACACATGTGTTTATGTTTGTGTACAGTTGGGCCAAGCTTTTGGGTTTGGCCATTGAGGTTGGGTTGGGCTTGGGCAACCTAAGTGCTAGACCCAAGTCCAACCTGAAAAATAAGAAAGCTCAAGGTTTTTGGCCTAGGCCCAGCCCAAGGACTGAAAATCCAAGGACAACTTCTGTGTTTGACTGGTTGACAGACCAAGAGGAGGGGAAGCAATTAGATTCGAGGGATTCGATCATTCGACAGTATGTTAGTATGTTACCTGGATACCTGTACAAGGGTGTGGGTGACATATTGTGTTGTATCCTGGTAACATAGGTTGACAGTTGAAGCTTAAGAAAATAGAAACAAGCAATCATAGCTTTAATTGGATAACACAGAGAGCAGATCAGTCTGCAACTTTACCAAAGATACAATGAAAGTATAGAGCAAAGAGAAATGAAACTCAAAAGATTGTTTAGGTCACTAGGAGAGTAGGAGTTACAATCTGGAGCATGGTTTAATATGTCCCTAAATTCCCAATATTTCCATGACATATTTCCATTTTTATGGGTAGTGACAACGAAAATTTATTGGGATGGACATATTTCCCAGTGAACATTACCAACATTATGCGGAGTACAAGAGATAGTATTATAATATAAGTTATTGTTGATACATGGAGTAGCAGTATTATTTACCCGCCTAACATGATTACCACTTTGAGCCAGCTCAATATTCATTTCAAACATGAAGTTAAATATTTGTTTGTGTTTGTGTAATAGATTATTTGATTGATCTATTAGATCCATTTACATTTTCTACAAGTATAAATTTTTCTTTAACTCATTCTGTCATGTAGTTTTGAATCTTAAGTTTTACAGGACAACTTCAGATTGCATTCTTTTTGTCTAAGCCTTAATTTCTTAGATTTGTTTAATGATTTGGAACAAGAACATAATTTAAAAAGGTGTGCGAATGCTTCTTTTATCATTTTATAAAATATCATTCTATATTTTTGCATATTTTACAATGTTTCACCATGTCTGATTTTTACAGTAGTATGCTGACATGGCATTGAAAAACACCTATGTGGCAGCAACAACAATGATACCAAATAAAAAAAACCTTTTCTGAGAAAACGACATGTCAATGCAGCACTGTTTTCTCAAAAAAAAAACGCCTCTCAGGAAATGGCATTGGTTCCAAACACCTCCATAATCAACTATTCCCCTTTTGGTTTTAGGATGTTTGGACTGAGACTAATTAGGGAGAAACAACAGATATCTTATTTCATGGCATGCTACAGGTGGAGAAGGAATCAGGAGCTAGCCCCCTATCACAATATGTTGTTACCTTGCGCCAAAGAGCAGATGAAAGAAAGAATTCAATGGTGGAATCCAGGTTTTGATCCATTTTATTTGCTGGATCTTTGAACATTTATTTATAGCACCTGGTCAAATATGTCACATAATAAGTTTTATCTCATTTGTAGCGTTCTTGTTGGAGCACAATCATCTGTCTTTGGGAATAAGATGTCAGGAACCGATGAAGAAGACAATATGGAAAATGAGGAAGGTGCTGCTGTTTTTAGCTCGTCCTGGTTACCAGGGGGTGATAATAAGTATGACTATCATATAAGAACATTTCTTTCTATTCTTTTTTTATGTTTATCTTAAATCCAACATTTAATAATCTGGAATGCAGGTCTAAACATCAAAAGGTTGATGATGATGAGAAGAGGAAGAAGAAAAAAAGAATGAAGAAACAACATACACAACAGCAAGAGTTAGAAGAGGATGTTGTGGAGGACTTGGTCTTAAGTTCAGATGAAGATGGGTCCATCAGTGACTCCCCTTCTGTGGAGAGGGAGGAGAAACCAAAAGCTAACAAGAAAAGGAAACGATCTAGAGATTTATCAAAGAAGAAAGGACAATCCCATGCAAAGAAACAGAGGAAAAAGGCTGCAAATCAACAAGGGATTTGAATTTGGCAAGTTTACCTGATCCTCGACATAAAAGCACAGAAATTTTGATTTACCAAGCGGAGTTGTACAGAAGAGGCTAACTGAGTTTGTACCTGAATTTATGTGGATTTGTTGTTGTAAAATTGATTTATTCGGCATTTCAAAGATTGTTTAAAAAAAGCATTTCGAAGATTCCTTGATGTTTAGTATTTTGGGTCACTACCACTTGATTCTGTTTGAATGGATTTGCTCTTCTATTCAACCGTAATCCATATAGTGACCGGAATCACAAATACATGGACTTCTCTATAGGAGACTTTTCTAAACAAAGTGATGGCCTAATGTAAAATTTGAAAAATGATTTGCATGTTTCACGTTTAAGGCCAGTCTGAAAAGATGAATCTCTGAGTCGTAATTTGGACCGAATTTTGTAGTAGAGGGAATTAAGAACCATTTACATGACAGAGTAGGATTGGAGTTGGAGAGTCCAAATCCAATTCACAGAATTATCCTCAAGAAAAATGGGAGTATTAAGAATATCAGAAACATCCTCTTGAGAAAAGTGATGGTCATGGAGCTGCTGTTTCCAAGAACCCTCCCTAATGAAATTTGCAGTAGGTGTATTTGATAAGGATGGGGAAATGGGTTGTCAGCCACCGAAAGTTACAATTTTTCTCTATCAAGGGAACCTGATCAATCATCATTGATGAATTGGAGTTTAAAAGAAAACTCACCTCCTGGCAGATCTCCCCAAGTTTAGGAGCCATAGATTTTCAAAAAAAGGAACTATTTTCCCTAATAGAATAAAGAAAAAATAAGTTATCATGGAGATATTTAGATTTCCAGATTTGAGTCCATAACTTATGCTGTTAATTGATAAAATGACATGCAAATTTTTTTTTTTTTTAAAGAACCAGGTTGACATTTTTGGGGATTAACATCAGATTTTGCTTACCAGAAATTTTTATTTTTTTTGTCAATTTTTGAGATAGTTTTCATGGGAAATTGAATGATGCTCTTGGAATGGACTGGAATGGACTCCAAGACAGCCTGAATTAGGATTCGTTTCCCCGCTTGATTGAGAGAAGACACTTTCCATTGATTTAATTTGGCTTTGATATTGTTTAACACGTAAGAAAGATCATTATTTTTATTTCTAGACCAACAAATGGGAAGCCCAAGATATTTAGAACGATGGTCCAAAGACTTAATATGAATTTAGCGCTTAATTATCTTTGATGTCTAGGATGAATATTTTGGCTAAAAATATTTTTGATTTATCAAGATTGATTAACAGCCAAACAAATGTTGAAACTGAAGAAGGATAGTTTTTAGATTGTCTAGATCTTCCCTATGAGCTCTAACAAAAAGCATGATATCATCTATGAAGAACAAATGGGAGATAGAGGGCGTAAAAGGAGATATTTTAATGCCTTAAATTTTATTTTCAGACTTAGCTTGGAAGAGCATTCGAGACAATCCTTTTATAGCCAAAATAAAAAAAGGTAAGGGGAAAGAGGGTCCCCTTGTCTCAAGCCCCTAGAGGGAGAAAAGTGACATTCCGAAGCAACGTTTATAACTTTATAAGGACTGAAAAGGAAACAGTGGACACACATTCCTGAATGAGTTGACAGAAATCAGAAGAAAACCTAGAGTGCTTAGGATTTTCAGTAAGGCCACTCTACTCTAGGCTTTAGCTATATCTTAGTGGCTACATTTTCCATACCTCGTTTATGGTGTTTCAAGAAGTGAAACACTTCATGGGTAATGGTAGTATTATTAGACATTTGCTGGCCTGAGACAAAAGCGGCCTGGGTAGGGGCAAGACATTTGTCCAACAAAGGACAAAGACAATTAATGATCTTAGCCAAAACTTTATACAATACATTACACAAATTGATAGGCCTTTAATCCTAGGCTTTTGTACAATCCACCTTTTTAGGTATGAGACAGAGAAATGTATGATTTAACTGCCTTAGCAATTTGTTATGCTGAAAAAAATTCGTGAGTATAAAGAATAATGTCATCCCCATTAGATCCCAACATTCTTTGTAAACAAGAGTAATTATACCATTAGGGCTGATCTATTTTCTCACTTGGGATTTTAGTGAAAAATGAAATATGGATTAAGGCGTTAAACCAAAACCCATAAACCTTGAACTGCCTTGAGGCGAGCAGTCCCACGACTGTTCCAACTTAAGATTAACATTGGCAATGGTGGGGATGTTGAGGGCCAACAACCAGTGCCCTGTAGAATAAGAAATGAATCTAAGAAAATAACAAGTACTTACAAGTGAAGTTTGAGCTCCCATAACAAGTACTTATAAGTTTTGTTCAGTTTCATTAGTGGGTTTAACTAAAGTATGGTCAAGGGAGACAATCCTATCAATAGGAGATTGGGTCACCAAGGATTCTGATCGATCAAAAATAGGAAGATCATGTCTTTGGTCCTCTATTTCTAGGCCTAAAAGGAGATCAATCTGAGGACGCTTGCCTCATAGATAGGTCGACGGGCTCCGAGTATCTGTTGAGAATATACATTGTAGAGTAGCCTGGGTATGGGAAGCAAGATGATATGTTTTTGATGAAACTCTAACCGAAGTAGCAGCAGGGGACGGGACTTCAACTCTGGCTGATGGCAGAGAAAGAACCAAAGACAAAGTATCCTTCGACTCAGACTGGCACTGGGTAGGGTTGGAGATCAGGAGCTGGTTGAGGTTCCGATTTATTCATAGGTTGCTCAAGTAGGTGCACAAAATCTCAATACTGAGGAAAATGGCCATTAATACTGATTAAAAGAACGACCATTAGTATGTAAATTGGCAGTAGAGAAAATGGCCAAAGAATAACGATAATATTGCATTAAACTTGTTACATATATACACTTATTTCAGGGAATCTGACGTGGCATTCCAGATCCTTCATCGTAATAGAGTGCAACAAACCTCATCACAACTAACTCAGTGCAACTAACTCATCGCAACAACCGTATTCTCCTAATACCCCCTTCAAGTTGGAGCATTAGGATTAAAAATGTCTAAATTGGGTAATAAAGAAGCAAACCTATCTCGTCTAATAACTTTGAAAATGTCTACGGGCTGAGCCGATGTAGGAAGATGAGCAGTAATAATGGCTTTTGCTTGGAGTAGGGGTGATCATTTCAGTCTGGCCCGGCCCAACTCAAAAATTCTGGGCTTGGGCCTAGGTTTTGTGTTCAGGTTTGGCCCAGGCCCGGGCCAGCCCGCATATATTTAAACTTGCACATTTTTTGTATAATGTATACAAGTTATTTTACATTATATTATATATTTTATAAATAAATATTATAACATGACATGTATAATTTATATTATATATAATATTTTATATTCTATAATGTATAAAATAAGTTTATATGTATGTTATGTCATTTAATATAAAATATTATAGATATGTAATGTTTTACATATATGAAAGACATTGGCCCAGAATCAGGCCTGGCTTGGCCCGGGCCCGTGTAGACCTGGGCTAGGGCTTATGTTTTAGGCTCGGAACCCCGGGCCTAATCTATAGCCCTTATCATAAGTGCAAAGCCCGGCCCGGTCCGACCCATGATCACCCCTAGCTTGGAGGTGCTCTTGTATGAAGTGGCAATCTATTTCAATATGTTTGGTACGCTCATGAAACACTGGATTAGTAGCTATTTGATGTGCTGTCTTGTTGTCACAGTATAGCTTCATGGGTTGTGGATGAGAGAGACCAAGATCAGAGAAGAGTTGTCTTAGCCACAATAGTTCACTAGTGGCGGCTTCCATTGCATGACACTTGGCTTTAGCAAAAGAGCATGTCATTGTTGCTTACTTCTTACTCTTCCATGACAAAAGGGGAGTGGCCCAGAGTTGTGAAATAGCTGGTGGTGGATTTCTGAGTGGTTGGGCAACCAGCCCAATCTGAGTTATAATAAGCTCACAATTGGAGATCAAAATCAGTCGGAAGGAGTATTCCTTGCTCAGGTGTAGCTTTTAAATATCGAAGTACATGCATTGTAGCATCCAAATGTTGTTGCTTAGGATCACTCATAAACTGGCTTAGGATATGAATTGAATAAGTGGGTTCTGGTATTGTGATAGTGAAATAGAGGAGACAACCCACAAGACGTCTGTATTGATCAGGTACAACAAGAATACTGCTTGATTGTACTGAAGTAAAAAGGGTATTATTAGCAACTGAATGTTTGAAACCTCGTTGGTGAAGAGCATGAGCTAGAGTTTCAAACCAATTGCGTGAGGCTTGCTTAAGGCCATAAATGCATTTGTTCAAGCGACATACACGCTGATCCTTAGGATGCAGAAGTCCAGGTGGAGGAATCATGTAGATTTTTCATGGAGAGTGCCATGGAGGAAAGCATTGTCCACATCCATCTGATATAGTTCCCATGGGCTGCAGCTAGAGCCAAAAGGCAGTGTACTATTATGAGTTTAGCAACTGGGGCGTATATCTCTGTATAATCAATGCCTTCAGTTTGAGTTTAGCCTTTTGCTACCAAGTGGGCTTTGTAACGCTTAACAGTACTATCGGGTTTGAACTTGACTTTGTAGACCCAACAACACCCAATGGGAGTTTTTCCCGGTGGTAAGTCAATCAATGTCCAGGTATGGGTGCGCTCAAGTACAGCTAATTCGGCTAACATAGCTTGCTTCCAACAGTCATGTTTGTTGGTTTCATCATAACAAGAAGGCTTAGGTTGTTTAGAGGGGATTGGACCCATAGTTAGAAAATTGGAGATTGGGTAGTGAGTGCTACATGATTCAGCTTGTGACTGAAGTGTTGGACAAATGTTAATCCGCCAGGTGTGGAGGAGGTATCTTGAAGCGAAGTGGGCGATGGTTGATGGTGGAGATGGGTCCAAAGGCATGCCGCCCTTAGCAAAAGGAAATTTGTGTTCAAAGAAAATCACATCTCTAGACACAAATATCCACTTACTAGTCAAGTCATAATTTGTATCCTTTTTGACCATTAGGATATCCAACAAACACTCATTTAGTGGCACGAGCATCAAATTTATCATGCCCACATCATGATGTACTTGCATAATAGAAGCAGCCAAATGCACGTAACTGATTGTATGAAGGAGGCATGTTGAAAAGAAGTTCATATGGCGATTTTCGAGCAAGTACTGGAGTTAGCAAGTGATCAATGATGTAAACTGCTGTCAGAACACATTCTC